AATGCAATAAAGGAAGTCGTGTCCGGTTTATTGGTTTTCCGATGAACCACCTGCTATTACTCTTCTGAGATTCAAGCGGTTGATTACTGCAAGAACCGAATTCCAAAATGCTATATTCAGGCAAGACCAAACCCCGCTAGAACGACGTTTAACTCTTAAAGAAATGCCTCCAACTGTGTTAACTCACTATCCATAAAGTCACCGAGTGGACAATGAAGTATGCTTTGACAGAACACAGTGCACACTGAACAGTACTATATCTAGTAAATAGCCGAATAACATGAAATAACTCCAGGAACTATATCTCACCGAGATAAGAGCCGAAAGCAACCCTATCTTAACTGCTCCATCTACGGGTAACGTGCGCATGAAAGATGCTGTGTGTAGTACACCTGTATCCCCTACAGGGCTGAACCTTAGAGTAAACTTCTCAACTAAGGCTATGAGAAACAAAGAAACATTCCACAGTCAATTTAAATATCAATACACCACCTCCAATCAAAGAGATCACTATAAATTATGAAATGACTCTCTATCAACACGAAAAGATAACGTCCAACGTCTCTGCCACAACGTATTCCAGAGCGTTGGTTTGACTCGCTAAATCATTCCCGAAGTAAACGATTTCTTGAGTCAATTAGTGACACTAATCCTGGCTGTGTGATCAATAGTAGAAATTCGGCTGAACATCCTCACATTCCACAGCTGTCATCAAGCCCAAAGTGGCAGCAAGCTAACACAAGTGGAATGGCAGTCAGTGACCGAAATTCTGAAATTCCTAGGGCATTGCCTAGTCCGCACAATAGCACACCTCAGCTGCTCTCACAGCAACTGGTCTATGCCCCTGCGCTATTCCCTGTCATTGAAATCCATCAAAATCCTTTTTAGAACACCATTAACCCCCACCACTGGGATTTACACCACTAGGCCCCATGGATCAACAGATGATCTCTGTGCTAGAACATCTTCGCTGGGGTCAATAAAACCTAGAGATCTCAAAACCAAGAGCGCCTTATTGTGGCACACCACGAATAAAAATGCTAGCAAACAGTCCCTCTTAACCCTCCCTTCACCACCTCTTTCCATATATTCTCTAGATTCGGCTGTCATAAACATTCGTTCCTTACTACTTAAATAGCATCTTCTTATTAATTTCGTCTATCTTAAGATTCCCCCTTTTGTTTTCATCACTGAAACATGGTGCAACTCAAACATAATTGACTCTCAGCTTCAAGTTATTGGCTACCACCTGTTTTGGAAAGATCGTCTGAGCAAACGGGGTGGAGGATACGCTATTTACATTAGAAATAATATCACAGTGGTGCCAGTTGATCTTCTGGCTCTCATTGATCTAGAACATTCGTTGTGCAGCGTGAATATTAAAGTAGCAAACAAACTACGAGTGACTGAGAAGCCCAATCGCTGCATCCATTTCATTGACTGGATCATGTTTGACAATCTCCTCAGTACCCTGAGTTGGGGCAAATACTTCTTAACGCAGCATGCAACCTTAGCCACGAACGAATTTATAAACAATATTCTCAGCTGTATCGACCTAGTAGCACCCCCGCCATGTAACAAGTCCCATAACAGTAGTAAACGCAGGCCTTGCTTCAAAATTGCCACCAAATTGAAGAAATTCAAGTTCAAACATCGCAAAAACTATAACTTTACAATATTACTGCAAATTCATGAGGCTCTACCGAAACTAAAACATCAGGCACTGCAAGCGTAAATCAACGAAGAAAACATAGCGCTACAAAATTCGCAAAATATACAAACCTTGGTGAAACTTCTCAACAGGAGGAATGCAAATCAGAACCATCAAATCCATAGTCTGACATTAGAAGACGTTAGATTAATGTGTCACGCCTGCACAGGCATGATCTCCGCTGGTTTTCCAAAGCTTTCCTCTCACCCATACGCATGTTCCCATGAATGATGTTGTAGTATTCAAGGACAGGAAGTGTGAGTACGTTGAAAGCTTGCTACTGACTGAGATTGTATGGATTTTATAACATATGTTACTTAAAGATCGTTCGGAGCGTGAAATCTGAGTATGTTTGCTCTGATAACTTGAACTTTAAAGGGTATCGAATGCCCAGATCACAGTTAACCTATTTCACACAGATATGTTCATTGTTCAGTTTAACTGACTCGGTAATCTAACATCCATGTGTCGTAATGTATGATTTACTAGTTGAGAACTTTATCTTCTCAAGTGAACCGATGTCATCTTGCACGAGCAACATTACACTTTGGAGTTCGTCTCCTCGGACTTTATAAACAATCTTAATATCACCGGTGAACAAGTGGCCTTCCGTGTTTGATGAACATTATTGTATCGTTAATATAGAGTAGGAAAAGTGAAGGACCAAGTACACTCCCTTGGATGACACTACTAGTGATTGGACGTGGGGAAGCATTATGATTAATCAGAGTGAACATCTGGTGACGCTCATTAAGGTATGATGTCAACTTAACCAATAGTCTCTGATCCCAAATGACTCGATTTATTCAGTAAACACTAGTGAGGCACTTGATCGAAAACCTTTCAGATCCAGTAACAACATTATACTTGTATAATTGGAGTCAATGTATTCTGTGATGTAATCCAGGTAGGACTACTGCTAAGTTGAACAAGGACGTTTATCAAGGAACCCATGTTGAAATATAGTAAGAAGTCCATGACGATGGCTAAAGTTCATGGTTCCATTGTTGACTATTTTGTCAAGTAGTCTAGTGTTGATGGAAGTATGATGGATAGGTCGATATTTAGTGACCTTCTGTTTGGGCGTCGCTTTATGACGAGGGACACTAAACGATGTTTTTCACTGATCCGGAAAGTAATTAGAATCGAACGACAACGTGAACCTGTTCAGCAAAAGCAGTGAAATGTCAGGGCCACCAAGTTTGACGACTGATGGGAGATGCCATCGGGGTCTAATTTGAGCGAAGGTTTAATGGAATTCATAGCCTGTTGGATGGTCTAAAGAGAAATCTCAATATTATGTGTGATTCTTTTTGTTGTAAGTTCTGGACAGCAAGCTATGGGTTCGGTTTCTACCTTTTATGGATACAGCGAAAATGAACTTAACGCTTCACAGTCGTTAAGGTGGTGACCCTCCTCATCTATCAATTCCGTGATCAAAGACATCAGATCGTTCGTTCTTTGACACAGTAATTGCGTCAGTTCTTATCCGTTGCGTGTCATTCGCATAGCGTTCTCCTCCTCTTTGTTGATTCCCTTGATTTTTGGACGCCTGAAACAGGCGATGAATAGATGCAACTGTAATATTAATGTAAAGCCTTTGATCTTTCAAAACCTCCAGACTAGTTTTCTCGTTTTCAGGTCATGCCGAATATAATTTGCATTCTTAGGACCAGGAATGGCAGGTGCATAATGTGGGACAAGTATAGTCATGATGCGACTGCTCTGGTGGTAGAACTATTTCCCTGCAATGGGAGCGCTAGTGGAGAGGGAAAAGTATCCCAATTAGTGGATCGGTTCAGATTTTGGAAATACTCCCGGTCAGTCTTTTGGATGGATAGGTGAGTTGAGTTTGGTAGTCATTTCCAATTAGGAGATAAGCCCTAGCATCTTGGGGTCACTACCAGGGAGGTTGTCTATGACAATTTGTGCGTCGAGGATCCCCAGGATGAATAGTAAGCAGTACGTTGGCAGACCTGGTTAGTCTGGTGACTCACTAAGTCCAATTCCAAACTCTGATTTTCATGAAGAAAGATCTGTGCAATGATGAAGATGGTTGTGGTGACAACTAACATGCGGTAGATTGTAAGCGCATGCGATTATCTTTAGACCATATGGTAGCACCGATATGAAATCAACCGACGAGGAGATAATACTGTTATCCCTGGCTGTTGCTGTCGGCTGTTGTAGAAGCAACGGAGAAGTATTTGTAGAAAAGTTTGCAGCGACTGGTAACCATGCAGATCCTGTAACATTGTTTAACTGTGGGTCGAATAAAATGCTCTGATCTGAAGTTCCGATGGAGATATTTGATACACCCACCTCCTTTCTTTGTGCTACGATCTTTTCGAGAAAGATGACAGGAATAGCTAAAGTAGCATGCACTGTGTCAGAGAAGCACCATGAGTCGGTGACGAAGAATACATGTGCGGCGCTGAGTTAAGTAAGCATCCTTAAAAATGTGACTTGTTGTTTATGGATTTTGCTTCAATTAATATAAATGAAAATGCGTTTGTCATAACAACTAGTTCCGGGAGCAATACAGAGGATTGTGAAGCCGTAATGGCAAGCAAAATTTAAATAAGTGAATGCTGGAAACAAGCCTATCAATGGCAGACTCTGATGTGAGGGCACTGTTCGCGCTGGTAAGACCGGGCAGGTGGAACAGATTGATGTCCCGTAGCTAGGTTGAGATGTATCTGGCATTGAGCTAGTCGTGACACAGAAATGAAGGGTAAGAAAAGTGGAACCAGATAGGCTCTCTGCTGAATGTGTCAGTGGTGGGAAGGGATGCGGAGCCATGCCCACTTCCGCTAACAAATGGTTGAAGTGGTGGATTGTGAGGCACTACATGGGTATGTCGTTTGACAGGTGATATTGTCAGCTTATCACTATCTTTCCGGTCTTCATTTCTTTATCTAGGGTTATGGCTTCTCTGTTACGAAACCGCTAACTCGTACTTACTGATGCAGTCGCATCGGAGGGTGGCGTATCGTCTGCAACTAAATAGCCCAGGTCAGCAAACATAGCAACAACCGAACATTCCCAAATGGCTACTCAGCCAAATGGGTTTCGTGATTAAGAAACCCAACGAATCGAGGAACCGACCTGCGTGGTCATTTGCACGACATTTTCTGAGCACTAGCCACCGAGTCAACTTCGATATGTCATTCACCATCCTGGAACACAGTCAGAAGCCCATACCCGCAGAGTACTGAAATGCATGGCTATTCATGGGGAAAGAGCGCAGCTTTGTGCACAGAAGTAGCTGACTGTGACTCTGAACAATGAACAATGAACAATGATTTATAACGGGTAAAAAAGCATATGCTTGACAGGTCCCGTAGGGTGGTTGGAGCAATAGATAAAATGGAAGGATAATCGAACAAGTAAATCGTTTTTTAAGCCTCTACATAATGATAGTTTGAAGTATGGACTGGATGTCTGCACCCAAAGTAGAGCTGTTATATTACAGCAAATGTGGGAAAAGAAATCAAAGGAACGGATAACGCTCACTCGTGTGTTGCTTCCGTTGAGAGATGTGGTACGTTACTCCAGTTTGTATACATCCATGTCGCTCATTGGGACACTTCTGTATGTAACATCACCGCCACTTTGCGGGGAGGGTCAGTAACCTCATGGTTTGGGTCTCGTTATTTCGTCCTCCGAATAGGACGTGCTATGCCAAATAATGCAAGTTGGAAAGTGTGTCATCTAGGCGTTTTTTAAATAGTGCCAATGTGGGGGCAAGGACGACGTGAGTGGGGAGCGCATTCCAAGCACGGGACACACGGAGTGAGAAAGAGTTTCGTCGACAATCAAGTCGGCTGTAGTGTGTAGCCAGTTTGAGCTGATGACCTCTCAGGTTGGTATTTTGGCTCAGCTGCAAGAGACTGCGACATGGGTGATTTGGATTCATCAGTATTAAGTAGACCATGATGAGGTCTCCTCGGTGACGACGATATTCACCACTGTACAATCCCAGAGACTGCAGTCTGCGTTGGTAGGGGATGTGAAACAGGCCTCTGACGAGCTTCGTTGCTCTACGCTGTGGAGCTTCAAGTGCACTGATGTCGCGCTTGCGCCAGGGACGCCAGGCCTGGATCGCATACTCCACGTGGGGTCTCACGTAAGCGCTCAGCATTTGCGGAAATACAGATGGCTCGAAATTTCCGAAAGCCCTCCGTAAGAGTCCGAGATGTTGACTGGCCCTTTTCGATGCCTTTTCAGCTTGTCTGGAGCAGCCAAGGTCGTCCTGCACGATCACTCCGAGGTCGCATTCCTGGGAAGCATGTTGCAACGGCTGGTCCCCGAGTAAGTATTCATGGATGAGCTGGTGGCGTAAGCTCACGACTTTGCACTTGGCGACATTGAAGTGGAGCATGTTTTCGGATGACCAAGTGTACGCCCTGTCCAGATCGCTCTGCAGTGTTGTGTGATCGTCCTCTGTCCGGATGTCATGCCAAATTTTGACATCATCTGCAAACAGCAAGAAGTTCGACTGTAGTACACTGGCAAGGTCGTTAATGAATGTTAAAAATAAACGTGGCCCCAGTACTGACCCTTGTGGCACACCGCACTGGACGTCAATTGGGTCGGACATGGAGCTGCGGACTCTCACATTCAGCTGACGTTGAGTGAGAAAGTTGGCGATCCAACCAAGCACAGGGTCACCGATTCCGTAGCCTCGAAGCTTGTGTAGGAGGATGCGGTGGTCCAAACGATCGAACGCCTTCGAGAAGTCCAGGTAGACAACGTCGACTCCAAATCTAGCATCAGCTGACTCCGTCCAGCTTGCTCGGGCCAGCAGCAAGTTTGTAGTGCAGGATCGATTTCGGCGGAATCCGTGTTGCTGTGGCACTATGATATTGTTGTTCTCCAGATATCCCATCAGCGCCTCCGCAATTATACGTTCCATTACTTTGGATAAAACTGGGAGGAGAGTGATTGGACGGTAGTTCGACGGCTCCGCACGATTACCGCTTTTGTAAATGGGAGTGACTAGCCCATGTTTCCACATTGTGGGAATCAGCATTTCGTCAAGACAACGTTGAAAGAACCGAGCTAATGGTTCGGCAATGTTTAGGGCCGCTGCCTTCAACGCCTTCGGTTTAATATCGTCTACGCCTGGCGAGCTGTGCACACGCAACGACATTAGCGTTTTCAACACATTGGTTGCCGTGAACGATACGTTGTGTAAACCTGGGAACGGTGAGAGCTCTGTCAAAATCGGGTGAAGGGATGGTTCACTCCGGAAAGTATGGAGGAAGTGTTGACGAAACACGTTGGCCGCGTCCTGTGCAGTTTGCGCATGACCATCTGTTGCACGCAAGACCGGGATCCCGCGCTGCACTCTACGGAGTTTGTTGATATGTCTATACAACAGCTTTGGATTTTTGCTGAATTTCGCCGCTAAGTTCTGTTGGTGCTGGAGTTTGTCTTCGCGAATCAACTTGACGCAGTGGTTTCGTTGAGTTGTGTAGACTCCCCAGGTCAGATTACTTGGGCAAACTTTGTAAGCGTGCCAGGCCGAATCCCTTAAGGCCATAGATTTTCTCGTACGGCTTCTTAGGAACGAATCCACTTGCTTCGGGCGAAAGGCCTTGCGTTCTGATGCATTTGCCACTAGCTCAGTGAATTTGGTGACAAACACCATCCAAGCCTCATCGGGCGGATTCTCGGTCAGGAAGGACCAGTTGGTGTCTTGAACAAGGTTAGACAAGATGTCGTAATGTGTAACCATATAAGTTTCCTCGTCGTTCTCTCTAACGTACTCCGAATAACAGATGTAACGAAAGTGCAACGTCGCGTGATCACTACGACCTAGTGGTGTAGCTATGGTAACGGTGTCAATCATTAGTTCCTCGTTGGTGAGCACAAGGTCCAAGACAGAGGGGGTGTCACCCGTTCTGAAACGAGTGGGGGAGGTGACATTGTTATACAGTGGTACATCGGTAATCAGTTCTTGCAAATCAGCCTTGAACTGTTCGCTGGGCGATGCTGGAACTTCGAGTGCGTGCAGATTGAAGTCCCCCACCAGAAGAACGTGACTGTGTGGACGTGTCAATACTCGTTTCATCGCAGCAGCAAGGCCTTGATCCATTTCCAAGGTAGACATTGGAGGACGGTAAACTATTGCTAGCAAACACACATCGCCACGTCTCAGGTGCATACGACACCAAAGAGAATCGTTGATGTTTGCTTCTGAGTCATCAATGATCTCAACATGTAGGTCGGATCGATAATACAAAAGCACTCCGCCTCCTCTGCTAGGCCGATCTTTTCGTAAGGAACTCATGCCAGGTAGCGCAATCTCGGCATCCGCGATTTCCGTGCTCAGCCAGGTTTCGGTGACCATAACTAGGTCCCAGGGCGTGGAGACCTGGCGAAATCGAAGTTCGGTTAGCTTGCTGAGAAGACCTTGTGCATTAGTATAGAAGCAGGTGAGGGCATCGGTGGTTAGAAGAGTGTTTGTAGATTCTGGTTTTCGGTTGGAGTTTACGCCGACCCTTGTGGGGTCGGCTGCCGGTAGTTTTTTTGTAGGACCGATGCTGCAGACCCTAGGGCCAGTTCAGGTCGTTGTATTGAGCTCTCAGCGCCAACAAGTGGGTGACCAACTTGTCCCCCTTCAGCCGGCAGCGTGTTTTGGCATTGTCTCTGGTCTGAGCTACATGGCGGCAGAATTGTATTGGTACGTTGCTTGCTCAGTGTGACATGGCCTGTTGGTGGTTCAGTGCCCATCGTCTTTATACGTATTTCGGATGGTAGCATTTGACGCATTTTGCGCCACGTATTGATCACATATTCTACCATCATTTCGGAATGCAACGATATTTTCATCACTCGGGGACCACATCCTTTGTAGTTAGGTGAGAGTGGTAACCTTGATGTCGAAGTAGCAATAACGTTTTCGAGTGAGAGCAGTTCGCGAATAAAACGCCATTCATCCCAGTCATGCGCTTTGGCCTCTAGATCGCTTGAGGTCTTGAGCTCGGGGACACCGTGAACAAGAACAGATTTGGCGTCTTGTCGTTTACGGAAGTCGTCCGGATTTTGTTTGCGTTTTTGACGTTCGCTCCAAGGAACATCTGGAAAGATTCGAACTGTGCATGATGTGGTACGGAGGCGAGTAGCTGACAAGAGAACTTCCTCTGCATCATTAGCTGATTGTAGTGTTACCTGGAGTAAACGTGGATCACCATAGTGTATGGAGTTTGGGTGACGGACGAGACGCATCATACTGACTGGTTTAACTTGAACCTCCATCAGTTGACACAGGGAGTCCCACTGTTTTTTGTCGTCCAATATCTTATCTTTTATAGAGTTCGCCCCGGATTCAGTCACATTGGAGCATATAACTGTCAAGGGATTATGGTGTTTTTTAATGTCCACCTTCTTGTGAGGACCAGTAACTGGTTTCTTCGCTTGGGTAGATGATGAGGTCTTGAGTCCCGTGGTGGTAATGGTAGTATTAACTTGTTTGGCAGCGGGTTGCGTAACGATGAAAGGGGCCTCAGCCGTATGAGTAGTGACAACGGACGCGTATGTTGTCGTCCCTTTAACAGCGTTCAGCGTGGTGGGTGGTTCTGGTGGAGAGTGTGCGGTGAACGCGTCTTTATGAGCAGCCGCTACTGTCGCGGTGACTAACACTGGAACATTGTTCTTACACCGTTCTGGATTGGAGCATGATGTTGAGCATGGATCTTTATGTACAGAGTTATCTGGCTCATATGGGACAGCTTTCACTGCTGTTGCTTGCTCTACAATCTTTGACAACCTATCGCACTTCTGTGCCAGCACAGTTATACATCTGACGAGTGGAAGAGATGAACACTCAATGCAGAACCAGAGAGAATCGGTCGTATCATGGAGTTTTTTTATCTGGCTGGTACTAAGGCGAGCACACCGAGGATGAAAGTATTTTCGACAGCTACTGCATTCAATACCAAACCGCACAAGTTTTACACAGTTGCCAACGCCGCAACTAACGTTCATCTCGGTAGCTTTAGGCTTCGCTTTCCGCGGGTAAGAGGTACGTGCCATTGTAGAACCAATCTAAGATGGCGGACACCGCCTGTAGTTGGGTGATCAGTGAGATCTCCGAAAGTAGCGAGGGGATATTCACCAAATTCGCACAGATAAAACAATACACCAAAAGAACTGTATTGGTGTAAAATTCACACACAGAAAACACGTATAACACAGTATTCCAAAAGAAAATTGCACATCCAGCACGGCTTAGCAAAATTCCGCGGCGTCCGTGGGTACAGCCGGACATCTGCCGTAGTAGCGTGAAGCGTACTGAATGACGGTCGAGCAATCCCACTGCCTTTGTTTACGTACTCCCCATCGTTTCTTGTAAGGTTGTGATTGCCAAGCATGCAAGAAATGATTGATCCACCTCAAAACCCGGCTCTTGTGGTTTTCTTGTTTATGATTATAAAGGGAATGGAGTAGCCAATATAAGATCGGTTGGGAGAGCAAATCCAGCCGACATAATCCACTCTATCTTTCAGCAGAGATACAGGAAGAGCACCGGGTCTAGGAGCATTGTTTTATTTTAGCATGTCGAACTTATGTTAAATCTCTTCCAAAGTGGAAGTGTGAGATCGATATCCCACGTTGACTCAGGTGATTCAGCAAACGACAGTGTAGCATTATGTTTGCTAAAATGTTGAACTCCGCCCAACGGGTCAGTGGATGCGGTTGAGAATGGCTCAAATACCCATATTTCTCAGCTACTACCTCACTAACCGATGGTTTCCTCGGATTTGTGTTCCAATTGAGCTGGAACAGCAATCGACTGTTCCCAATAGCACTGGTTTTCTCAGTCTCACGGGAGCTTGCCACCCACTAGTGTTCGCGGACAATTTGAAGACTAGTTGGCAGTCATCGTTGTTTCAGGCGTTGTTTCAGGACAAGTTGAAACTCCCTACCTATTGATAACTGTTTCCGCGCTTCCATCAAACTGATTGGTGCCTAAGTGATCCATCCAGAGTTAGGGCCTTTTAAGTTGTTGGTAGAGCAGGCGGTAAAAAGAATCTTTATGGCGCGTATTTGTGATTACTCAACTCAGCATTTGGTTCAATAACCTCATCCACCATTCAACAGGGTTAAAAAGCAATAGCTTTCCAAAATACACAGGAAGGAAAATGCAAAGAAAAATTGGAACCCAAACGTTCCGGCATAGAACGTGATTTATTAGTAGTGTAGATGTTACACTTTATCATACGGTTGGGTAATGTTTGTCGCCCAACTGAAAATATACAAGTCTTTTGAATGTCGCGATGTTAGGTCCGCTGACCACATATGAGGACAATGCATTCCAAAGTGAACAGATTATAAGAGGTAAAGCTTTGTGCAATGCAAAAGGTAGTTTTATGGTACTAGTTTCGGATTTTGGTCTCAATAATTGTTACTATGTACCATAGTAAGCAGTGGTTTACATGTATAAATCCTTTTCTGTTAGTATACGGCATGTACGAATGAGATCTCCGCGAGGGTATCGGTATACTGAAGAAGCAAAATCCAATTAAACGAAGGCGAATTCCATATTCGCATATTCCACGTACTGCTTTGGCGAAAGTTCTTTTCGGCGTGTTACAAGAGACGAATGTCTCTTATCAACCATGTACGACAAGCCATAACCGCATGCTCGACGTGGGGACAAATAGGCTCATTAATTGCCAGGGATAGTAGCCGTCGCTCAACGGTACCACGCGCTCGCCTCAAAAGCCTCAAGCACAAGTTCGGCATGCTTGCTGCTCTCGAATATTGGAACGAATTGCCCCAGCTCTCTTGAGCGATGAAACCCAAGTCTCTCACTAGTCACACTTTGTGGCACGTGCCACCCCAAAATATGTGTTGCTGAAGCAGTAACGCAGCATCATCAGGTGGCACTCTGAATGGAACCGTTTCAGTTGATTATTTTCTGTCCATTCGTAAATTCGATCCAGATCGTTCTAGAGGTAGACACGGTCGGATGATGACCGAATAACTCTTCAGATCTTAGTATTATCTGCAACTATTTGCTTCGGGGATAGAATATTTGCTGGGAGATGCTTGGCAGATGGTAGGTCTGTTCCTCTTGATATTGTTAAATCGCAGACTGCGAGTTCAAGTTTGAGAAAACCTACCAGATCGTAGGACTGGACTAGTAAACCGCATTCTTCCTGACCAGTGTCAAGTTAGTTGTCATTGTTCAAGTGAGTTTTAGGCCTCAAGTACCCTCATCAAAAATACGCGTCAGCTGATGGTGAGAAACAAGCCACCCCTAATGTGCCGTAATACAAAAAGATAAAATACTAAAAATAACACTAGAAAAAATGCAAATAGACAAGTAATATAATGTTAAAAAATATTATTCATTTGCTATGAGAACGTGCTTGGAGGGGGAATCTAAAGGAGAAGGGGTGCACAGAGAAATTCATAGCATAAACTCCATTGAGGCTTGCAACGATTTGCCATTAACCATCACTCTGCCTAACTATGCGCGTACAACACTTTGATAGTGTTTACGTATTTACGTGGCACAGCTTTCCTCGGCAGACAGACCAAAAGTGTACATCTATCAAACGAATCGAAGGCAAACGTCAATGAACAATGATTTATCACGAGTAAAAATAGCATGTGCTTGATGGTTGGAGTAAAAATTAAAATTAAAATGATCATCGAATAAGTAAATCGTTATTTTAAGCGTCTACCGAGTTGACTGCATTACTGCGTAACGCTAGTTTGAAGTGGGAACGGGATATGCACGCATAAAATAGTATAATGTGCCGTTATAATTCGGTACAACCGTGAGAAAGTAAAAAGGAAACGACAACGCCCACTCGTGTGTTGCTTCATTTGACAAATGTGGCATGCTAATCCAGTTTAGATACATCCAGGCTACTCACCTGGACACTTCTGCATGTATCCTAAACGCCACCTTGCCGAGAGGACCATTAAGCATATGATTAGGTTTGCCTTATTTCGTCCTCCCAGTGGAACGGACTATATCAAGTAATGCACGTTGGAAAATGTTTCATCAATGCATTTTTTGAAAAGCGTTAATATAGAAGCAAGGATAAGGTGAGTCGGAAGGGCATTCCAGGCACGGGACACACGGAGGGATAAAACGTTTCGCTGACAGTAAGGTCGACTGTAGTGCGTAGCCAGTTTGGGTTGATGACCTCTCAGGCTAGTATTTCAACTCACCTGCAACAGATGGTGACTTGCTTGAGTTAGGTTCATCAGTATTAAGTAAGCCATGATTAGGTCTCCTCGCTGACGTCAATATTCACCACTACGCAATCTCAGAGATTGCAGTCTGAGTTGGTAGGAGATATGAAGCAATCCTCTAAAGATTTTGATCGCCCTACGTTGTGGAGCTGTAAGTGCATCGACCTCGCGCTTGTGCCAGAGACGCCAGGCCCGGATCGCATATTCCACATGAGGCCTCACACAGGCATTCAGTATTTGCGGAAATATTGATAGCTCAAAATTCGCGGAAGACCTCCGTAAGATTCCAAGGTGTTGAGTGGCTCTTTTTGATGTCTTTTCATCTTATCTCGAGCAACCAAGTTCGTACTGCACCATAATCTCGAGGTCGTTTAGCTTGGGAAGCACGTTGTAATTGATGGTTCCCAAGTCAATATTTATAGATAAGCTGATGGCGTATGCTTACGACTTTGCACTTGATCAGGTTGAACTGGAGCCGGTTGTCGGATGACTACGCATAAGCCCTGTTGAAATTGCTCTGCAGTGCCATGTGATCATCCGATGTCCTGACATCATGCCAAATTTTGACATCATCTGCAAATAGTACGAATTTGGCTGTAGTACCCTGGCAAGGTCGTTAATGAATGTTAGAAATAAACGTGGTCCCAGTACAGATCCTTGGGGCACGCCACACTGGACGTCAATTGGGTCGGAAGTGGAGCTACGGACTCTCACCTTCAGCTGCCGTTGAGCGCGGGAATTGCCGATCCAACCTAGTATAGGGTCATCGATTCCATAGCTTCGAAGATTGTGAAGGAGAATGCGGTGGTCCAAATGATCAAATGCTTTCGGGAAGTCCAGGTTGACAACGCCGGCTCCCACTCTGGCATCGGCTGACTGGCCAGCTTGCTCGGGCTAGCAGCAAGTTTGTAGTGCAGGATCGATTTCGGCTGAATCCGTGTTGCGTTGACACTAGGATGTTGTTGTTCTCAAGATATCCCATGAGCACCTCTGCAAATATACGTTCCATTACTTTGGATACAACTGGGAGGAGAGTGATTGGACGGTAGTTCGAGGGCTCCGAA